TGAGAATTATTTTGAAATAATGAGAGTAATAGAGACATCATAATTATAAGTTAACACTGCTTCCTAGCATTGTGGCTAATATCATTTTCGTTTTCGTTTTCGTTTTCGTTTTCGTTTTCGGTATGGTCATCAAAATCCAGATGTTTTCTTTATTTTAGTCATCCATCCAGCCAGGCAACAGCTAGCTTAGTCAGCCTGTATCTGATCGATCCCCTCTCTTCTCTATCAACTTAACTATCTATCCCCAAATCATCAGCATTCAGCATATATTCCCGTTTACCATAATTTGCTGCCTCGTCCTCATACATAACAATAATTTAAAAAAAAAAAAACCAACCCTCTAATAAATGGCAAATTTAATGGAATCGACTTAATATATTGTCTCTTTAATAAATTTCAAGTTTTCGATCTTATAAATAAAAATATATATATGGAAAGAGTTTCTTCTTTTATAATGTTTGATATAGTTTAATTTTAAATTAATCAAAATATTTAATATAACTTTTTAATATGAAAAAGTCAATAAAAAAAAAAAACTTAATGATACTGCCGAATTAGGCCAACATTCATCTGCTCGCATGCATGCATGAACGATTGAACATTAATATGAAGATCTTTAAAGAATCTTGAATGTGTGCGTGGATGCTTGCAGAGCATACGTACTGTTTTTAATTAATATAATTAATAATTACCTACAATAATCTATACAGAAGAAGAACGATTTAAAATTAGAGGTGCACGAGTGCTAAGATTAATTTTGCTAGGTGTACGGATTTGCTTAAAGAAGACGTTGTGAAAGGGTAGTATTTTAGGGCTGTGCTTAGATGCAGCCTTCCATTGAGTCACTTGCTGCCTACTACCTCTAAACTAACTTGTTTATTGTTAGTAACTTAAATAATTTAACGATAATTTTTTATTTAAATAAAACAAAAGAATTTAGATTTAAATTTAATTTATAAAAAATTATTTTTTATTATACAACTCACAATAAAAAAATTAAGAAAAAAAATTAAAACTTTTTCTGTTAATACCAACAATATTAAACTAACTCCTCTTTTCCATGATTATGCTAGAAAAGTACTAAAAAATTTAGTCAATTAAACATACGGTAGAATTTTCCAAGATAATAACTTCCCCAGAACAAGCAAACACAGCCTTGGGCCATCTTTTTTATAATAATAGGTGAAATCTCCAGCTGTATTTAGGTACATAAGATATAGAGATAGGGAAGGGTCGACTATTATATTGTCCTTAATCTGTCAATGAGTTGGAACAACAGGGGCACGAGAGTTCCTCCTCGTTGGTCCTGAAATCTCTTGCGGAACTGTTCCATCAGAATTCAGGAGCGGCAGTTTTTAATTAGGTAATACAGTAAATCAAGTTGCTGGTTTCAGACTATGCACACAACTTGAAATCCCAAAAATTATGTTTTCTTCAGAATTAGATGTTATGAAATCTGGTAACGAGGGCTCTCGTACATTAATTAAATGACAGATTAAGTTTATAAGAGATTTTAAATTTAAATTTTCTCATTTTAAATCACATAGTATTATGTCAAAAAAGATGAATGAAGACCACCACATCTAGAACCAAGCTCTATAATCCATATATGACATTGTTTAATGTATTTCTTGGTGGAGATTTGCAACTAAAATAGGATATGGGACAGACAGGGCAGGGCAAATATCCAATTAATTAATCCAAAGTGAAGTAATTAAGGATTATAATTTACATAAGCTGAAAAAAAAAAATCAATTTACAAGTTGATTAAAAAAAGGAATAAAATGTGCTAAAGTTACATTTTACAAAAAAAACAAATGAACAAATCATGTGTAGTGTCTTCATAATTCATATCCTTTTCATCTTCCTTTTCTTTACCCAAGATCTGTACAGTAAACTGAAACAACTTCAATTCATTTTTCCTGTATCTGAATCCAGAAATAAGTAGGATCTGCAGTAAATTGCTTGCCGCAACTAGCTAGGTGATGGTAAACCTCCTCCCTCTATCTTTATCTTTCCTATTCTTTTAATAGCTTCTTTCATGTCTAACCGCAGCTCGGGATTACTCTGAGAACAAGCTGCACCAACATGGAGAAGTTCCTCCATGCTGCTGGAAATTCCAGAGTTTGCAATCTCTGGGTCAAATAATTCAGCCTGTCTCCCCTCAGAGATTGCAGAATCCACCCAATGAACTACATCAGTCCCCCCATTGCCATTGCTAAGATATTGAGAAGGGAATTTTCCTGTCAGGATCTCAAGAATGACAATTCCTAGACAGTACACATCACTTCTGGTGGTCACTTTGCCAATCTCTATGGCTTCTGGGCTCTTGTAAGCAAACAAAACTCTTGCATTAGGGTTCATGAAGGGGCAGAATCCATACTCAGATAGTAGAGCCTCATTGTCAGAACCGATGAAAACATTGCTAGATTTGAGATTTCCATGTGGTACATCTAGAAAAGCAAGTTCAGTGTAAATGTACTCTAATCCTTTGGCAATTCCTTTGATGATCTCTAGTCTAGCAGGCCAATCAAATTCAGAATGTGATGGTCCACGATCACCTACAGAAACATGTGATCATACAATAATCAGGCAACAACTATATCTAACCAAACAATTGTTCCAATTAAGGACGGAAATCAAGCATCTACTACCTGAATGATTTCGACAATTAAACCAACAAGGAGTAAAAACCTTCATTTCAAAGGTATAAAATTCGAATAATTCATACCATGCAATAGATAAAGCAAACTGCCTTTGGGAAGGTATTCAAAGATAAACAACTTCTCATCTCTCCGGAAATGGTAAGCTAAAGGAGTCAAGATATTAGGGTGCTTTAGCTTTCCAAGCCTGTTAAGATCCGCATCAAATTCTTCTCTCCCCATTGCATTCATTTCCCTCATCCTTTTTACCACCACTGCTACTCCATTAGCCATTCTTGCCTTATATGAAGATCCCGACCTCCCATTCCCTAACACTTCTGCTGCTGCCTTCATCAAATCTGGTAACCCAAAAACACCCTTTTCAGTGTTTACCATCACCAATTCTCCCATCCCACCACCTCCTTTATGACTACCTCCCTTCTGAGACCCTTTTCGACTCGACCCTAAACTCCTCTTGCTCAAGTCCGCTCCATTTTTCTTTGGCACTAAAACCTTCACCTCAATCTCCTCCATTAAAATCTGTCTATCTCCCACCACCTTTAAACCCTCCTTCCTCTTTTTCCTCCTTATAATCCCTAAGATGATCACCACAACAAGAATAATAATCCCTACTGTTAGAATTGCAGCCAAAATTTTTTTGTAACCATCCTTATGTACATCTCTCCCAGTTACCGCATTTTCACTTTTCTTATTACATTTAACACCCAAAGGTTCTCCACAAAGATCTGCATTCCCCACAAATGAATTTGCATTGAATTTTGATAAACTGGGAGGAATTTCCCCTTCCAGTTTATTGTTTGCCAAATTCACAGACACTAGACTTAGGTGATTGAAATTTGGGATATTCCCAATAAATTGATTGTTTCCGAGATGCAATTCTACGAGACGGGACAACTGACCCAATGACGCCGGGATCTTTCCGGTGAATTCGTTTTCCGAGAGCCAAACTTTCCTCAAAGCTTCCATTTTAACGAAATAATCCGACGCAATTTGGCCGGAAAACTTATTCCCCGACAAGAACATAGCCCTCAAAGACCCTAGTCGATTGAATTCCGGAATGGGTCCTGAAAAAGAATTGTTAATGAAACTAATGAACCTCAGGCTCTTAATTTCTCCCAGCGCATTGACATTGATCTTCCCCGACAGCCCCATTCCTTCGAGACGGACACCCCTGGGGACGCCATTAAAGCAAACCACACCCTTCCACTTGTCCTGTTGGCTGCACGGGTCGGATCCGGGTTTCCAAGAATCCAGAGCAGTCGCGTTGGAGAAGGATTGCTTGAGCTTTAACAAGGCGTCTGAGGCGGGTGCTGAAGATGCTACCGGAGAAGAAGACAGGATGATGAGAAACAACAATGGCCGGAGAACAAAACCGGCGTCCATCACTTAGCCGGAAAGGGGAGGCCTCACGGCGGTATTTAGGATGTAATTTTAGGCTTAAATTTACGAGGGACTGTTGATTTTTCGTGTTTTTGGTCGGAATGAGAGGTGGCAGAGGTTTTGAATTCAGAAACCGTTATTACCGTTGGTTTCAGTTGGTTGGAGAGTCATGGTTGGCTCAAGATTCGGCTTTCACAGATCAATGGATCCCAGTTTTGGACTTTTTGAGGTTATGGGCTTCTCAGCCTAAGGCCCTAACACGGGCAACGACATTGGATTTTTGGTTTCATTTTATGGCCTGAACTGATTGGGCTTTTCTAATTTTTCAGAAAAAAAAAAGGTTACTTAACTGTTTAGACTATATTAAATTATAAAATATGAAAATATATATGAAAAGATGGTTGTAGTTTTTTGAGATTTTAAACCCATAAAATGGTTAAAATTTTATTTTAGTTTCTTTATTTTAATAAAAAATTTATTTTTAATCTCTTAATTTAAGAAAGTTTCTTTTTAGTATCTTTGTTATCTTTTTGTACGATATATTAGATGATAAAAATTTTAAAGTAAAATAACTAAAAGAAAACTTTTTTTTACCTCTTTATTTTAAAAAATATTTTTTATTTTTATTATTTAATACGTCACATATATTAAAATAACAAAAAAACTAAATAAAAAATTCTATAGATTAAAGAAAACTTTCTTTAAAAAATTTAAATAATTTTTTTATTAAAATAGAAGATCGGAGAGTGGGTTTTAGCGGGCATAAAATTCATTTGACTTCCTAATGATCTCGTGAGATTTTGATTTCATCAACGGCACGCTTAAGGTAGGACCGTAAAAGGTTGACCGTTTATTTTAGAAAGGGAGGTCCAATATTTAGGGGTCACATTCTCCATCAATGTTATAGTTAAGTAGCTCATGTTAGGCCGGGTTGTATAATATTTTCTTAATTCATTAATACTAAAAACGTAAAGATTTAGCACTTGGAACTTTGGACCCAATGATGTTAAGCAGCGTATAAGTGCATTTTTCTAGGACAACGGTTCGAATTTGATTTTTTGGAAAATTAATCAAAAAAAAATTGTCAAAATTTATTAACCATTGATCTATTGGTTCAAATGAAAAGAGTTTGATTCTTTTGAATATGATTTCGAGTTCAATCGAGTTTCTTGAATGAAGAAACATACATTAAGAGAACTTAGTCCTATATAGGTTCGATGTGCCTTGATCCTGAATTAATTGAAGTTCAATGTGACTTCCAGATATCGAAAGATTAATATAAAAAATATTTATTTATATATAAATATTATACATTATATTTATATAAAAAAATTTTAATAGTTAAAATTTATTATGATTTTTTAATAAATATCATAAAAAATGAATAAATTTTAATTATTAAAGCAAAAAATAAATAATTAACATTTTATATAACTTTATTATAAAAAACTTATATATAAATAAATTTTAATTATACCTTAAATGGAGTGATTTAATAGTTAAAATTTTAAAATTTTAAGTTAAAAAAGAGATGATTAATTCTTCTTATATAATTTATCATTATCATATATGCTGAAAAAATCCTAATCTTAAAAAATTATTTCAAGGCAACTCCAAAAAGATATTTTGATTCCATCTCTGCCTTCTATTTTGTCAAAAGTTGTTATGTAGAGAGACTGAGACGATGAGAGGATTTTCGTCGCGTGACATACCCCCAGTTATTTTCTTTACTTCTGTTTTCTACCAGCATTTTCTCATCTTTCGTTTTCCATCCCACAACCAAAGTGGTTGAAACTTGAAAGTGATGCTAATGTTTGGAAGACCAGACATGTTTTTCAAAGCACAGCATAAATCACATAATGAAGATAAACTCGTTGATATTAAAACCACTTACTTGTTTGTCTGAGTAAAAGGAGTTTGATTTTCTTTAAGGTTTCGAGTTCAAATCTTGTAAATGAAGAAATAGGTGCTGAGAAAGTTTCTCTTTTAATAGAATCTGACTCGGTTCGATTCTAAATTAATTGGGATCCAACGTGATTACTAGATACCGAGAAGTTAATACAAAAAAAAAAAAAAAAAAAACTCATTGATATTAAAATTAAAAATTGCTCACTTTATTTAACAATTCATGTTTTGTAATCTCCCTACAAAACTAAAAATTCTGAATTAATTAAGTATTTGGTTTAAGAAATTCATTAAAACATGTTTGGTCACTTTCCTGTCTCCCTGGTCCTCACTCCACGGCACATGGGTTGAGAAATTGAAATTCTGCTACTTTTAAGTCAGTAATCGTGGCTCATAGAGAATGACACCTTAAAATTTTGGGTAACGTTTGACTGTCTGTCCTTTTCACAGCGTAAAAATGTGCAAGAGTGGATAGAAGGAAATGACTAAGGGGTGGGTAGGATGTGGAATTTTTCTTTATTTAGTTGTAGAAAAAAAAAATTAGAGGAAAAGGAAAAATGGGAAGAAAGGAAACTGTTTTTTTTACCTTATTTTAAATTTTTTTTATTCACTTTAAACTATTGAAATGGGAGGAGAGGAAACCTCTATTCCCTTCATACAAAGATGCTCTAAATATTTTTCGTTATTAATTATTTACCACATTTTGTAATTCTGCTCCTAATTGTTAATGGGAGAAGTGTGAAAAAAAATGAAAAAGAAAAAGAAAAAATTTACTGTTGATGAGGTGGAGATAAGGTTTAAAAAATAAAAAGTGGAAGTGTGCTGCCGTAAATATAAATAATTTGTTATTTTTTATTACTAACTCTATACTAAGAAAATTGCTGTTTTTTTAACCTTTTTTTAATATACTAAAATTTTAAAAATATTTTTTATATTTATGTATATTATTTTAAAAAAGAAATAAAAAAAAGAGAATTTTAATGTTATTGTGGATAATTAAAGTTAGAGGTAATATGGTTAAAGTGAAAAAAGATATATTTATTTTACAAAAATAAACAAATGACAATTAAATTTAAACAAATTTTGAATTAAAAATTACAATTATCTAGTGATAAAAAAAAATAACGAATAATTACTAAATGTATGTTTGGTTTGAGAAGAAGAGATAAAAGTAATGAATTTTTTTATTAATTATATTATAATATTTAAAATATTATAATTTAATTAATTAATAATTTAATTTTTCCTTAAAACAAATATATTATAAGTTTTTCACAAATTAATAATTTAATGTTGCTTTTTTTTTTTCGATTTTTATCCACTCCGTTAACTTAAAAATAATGAGATAGAAGAACTTCGAAAGAATAAAATGATACCACTAGGCACTAATTTTAAACTAATTTATTCTTAAAATTATTAGTAATTATATACTTTTCTTAATCATTTTGCTTTTTCCTAGGACTTCAAATAAATAGTTGAAGTGATGTATAATGTGTCCTCTCCCTGTCCCATAAATCCCTTTTAATTATATAGACGGATTAAAGGTTATTGTTAAGAAAAATAGTATATGAACGAAGATATGGTTAATAAGATGGAATATTAAAAATTTGAATTTTATTAAGGAGTCTAATTGTAAAGAAAAAATTGATGCATCTTTAAATGTAAAAACAAAGATACTTATATTTTGCATAATAAAAGAAGTTATTTTTGGATAAATTTTTAGTTAAAAAACAGGAGATGTTATGGAAGTAAAGGAACATGTTTTTAACTCAATATTGGACTATACTAATCAGGGACGGAGCCAATGAAGGACAGGGGGGCAACTGCCCCTAAACATTTGAAAAATATTTAATATGGTACTCTAACTTTTATTTGTTAAAAATTTTGTTTTTATAGTATGGATTTTAGGAACATCTCAAATGTAGAGAAAATATTTAGAACTTAAATAAAGAATCTTCAAAAAACAAGGATATGATTCCAATAAAATGAACTTATGTCAATTTAATTAATTAGGAATTGAGGTTCTTAAACATTTTCTTATTTATGAAGCAAGAAGAAAAACTTTAATTCTCAATTTAAATAACTTTAAATTCATTGTTTTATTTAGTATTTTTTTTATTTTTTTCTTAATATTCTATATAATAATTTAAAGTCTTGCAATGGTACCAAGGTACCTTTTTACTTTTTATGATTGAATTTATAATAATTTTTTGTGTTAAATCAATTAAAATTATACTTCACTTTTTAAAAGAAATATTATAATTTTTTATAATATTAATATTTATCAACATGACCTCTAAAAAATTAAGAGGAAAACACTTCAAAACTATGTTATTTAAATAAAATAAAAACACTTTTATTCTTACTTTAAGAAAATATTGTTTATTATTTTAAATGCAAATTTATTGAAATAATATAAATTTATTATAATGTTTCTCTCTAATTTTTAAAAATTTAGTTAATAAATACATTTCTCTTTTTTATTCATTCTTCAATTGATCGTTGCATGATTTATTACTATGATATTTTGTTTTTTATAATAATAAATACATTTATTTTTAATTTTTATTAAGAACATATCAATTAAAAAGATCACAAGTAAATCTTTCTATAAAAAAATTTTAAAAAATGAATTAATATCTTGAAAAATACTCTTAAAGAATCAAATCTTCAACATTAAGTTTCCCCCTTTAACTAAATTTCTTGACTTCGTCCTTGATACTAATAAAAAATATTATTTTATAATTCAAATTTAATATTTTGAGGTTTAAAACCTAATAATTAGTAAATTAGATGATTTTATTTTAGTAAAAATAGAAAATATATAAATTTATATTATAAACATATAATTAAATAAAATAAATAATTATCTTATATTATATAATTTAATTTAATTAATAAAAATCCTCAAGCCTTTCCCATTGACTTAATTTTAAATAATTAATTAAAATTCATTGAATGGGAGTACAAGGGTTCTCAAGCTAAAACACTCCACAGTCC